TTTTCTCTTTCAGGTGTATATCCCACAAAATGTACACTTACCCCTACAATAGGACTATGTGACCGTCATTTACCTCGCTACTTTTTCAGCACAGGAATGAAGACATGTATGATGTTTGTTTATACTGGATGTGGAGGCAATGACAATAACTTCGAATCTTTGAACGAATGCATAAGAGAATGTCAAAGTTATGGTAAGGAAGAAATTGAAATCTTTCCCTTGGTGTGCAAATATATTAAAAAATTATCAACTTTCCTATTAATAATATAGTCTTCCTAAAACCTTCCGCTACTGTTTTTTCTACATTAATAAGGAGCAACAGGTGAATCAGATTCAGATTAGAGCTGGAAGGGACCTTGGAGGTCTTCTAGTCCAGCCCCCTGCTCAAGCAGGATATCCTATACCATTTCAAACAAGTAACTGTCCAGTTTCTTCTTAAAAACCTCCAGTGATGAAGCACCCATGATTTCTGAAGGCAAACTGTTCCACTGGTTAATTGTCCTTGGAGTTAGGAAGTTTCTCCTTTATTCCAGGTTGCTTCTCTCCTTGATTGGTTTCCATCCATTGCTTCTTGGCTGCCTCTCAAATACTGGAATACTGCCATCCCCTGCATGTTAGTATGGCTCAAAAACAGTAACTGTGAGAGGGACCTTGGAGTCCTAGTGGACGATCACTTAAACATGAGCCAGCAGTGTACGGTAGCAGCTAAAAAAGCTAATACAATCCTTGGTTGTATGAATAGAGGTATAGAATCAAAATCACGTATTAGTATCTCTTTATTAAGCCTTAGTGAGACCACACCTGGAATACTGCATCCAGTTTTAATCACATTACAAAAAAGATATTAAGACTTTGAAAAAAGTACGAAGAAGAGCAATTAAGATGATTAAAGGCCTGAAAACTTAAACATATGAAGAACGGTTGCAGGATTTGGGTTTGGCTAGTCTAGAGAAAAGGACAAGGGGTAGCAGTATTTCTGTAATTGAGAGGCTGCCAAAAGGAGGAGGAGATCAATTTATTTTCCAAAGCACCAGAAGGCAGCACAAGCAATGGATGGAAACTAATCGAACAGAGAAGCAACCTGGAATTAAGGAGAAACTTTCCTAACAGCGAGGACAATTAACCAGTGGAACAGCTTGCCTTCAGAAGTTGTAGGGCCTTCATCAGCAGAGGTTTTTAAGAAGAGACTGGACAGTCACTTGTCTGAAATGGTAAAGGATCTCCTGCTTCAGCAGCGGGCTGGACTAGAAGACCTCCAAGGTCCCTTCCAGCTCTAATCTGAATCTGATTCTGATTCTTTTCTCTAGACTAGTCAAACCCAAATCTTGCAACCTTTCTTCATATGTTTTAGTTTTCAGGCCTTTAATCATCGTTTGCTCTTCTTTATATCTTTTCCAAAGTCTTGGTATCTTTTTTGTAATGAGGTGACTGTTGAATCGTGGGCACAAGAATGGACAGGACAATTAATACTTTTATTAGCTCCGTAAATCGCAATGGGGAATCCTAGCTGCGGCAGCTCCTTTTATAGCTAGGAGCTGTCCGCGGCTTCAGCCACTGACGTTACTCTGAATTTCCCGCTCACGTCCCTGATTGGTCCGTTCAAATCTGCCATTCAATACTCAACAGTGACCAAAGATCCCTCTCCCTATGGTTGAGTCCCTATGGTTTTTGAGCCATACCAACATGCAGAGCAATGTATTTGGGAACTGGAAAGTGAACAATATATGAATTTTCCAACACTAAGCAGACACCATAAATACTTAAACTTGGTTGAAGAGAAGGTCCATGTGATGTCTTTGGAAGAGGAGGAAAGGGAATGGACACCCACCCCTCCACTTCCATATGCCCATCCTTCAAGTGTTGAATGACCAGTTCCAGAAGAGGTTTGTCCTTCTGTCTCTTGGAATACAAGCCTTCAAGCAAATGGAAGGAAACCTCTCTGATGACATTCTCAGTCCATCCCAGAAGTCTAGAATTTCAGGATTGGGGACCTGGTGCCTCTTTTTAGGGGTACAGGAGTTTCTGTCTGCCAAGCTGGTCTTCAGTTATTTGAGGGGTTCTAATGGTAATTGGCAATGAATGAAATTTGAGTGTTCTCACTATGTTAGTTTTCACTTTTTCTAACCTTTGGAGCAGATTGCTCAGGATCTACTTCAGTAAATGCTCAAATATTCATTTGCCCTGAACTCTGGAGTCATAACACAATATATATTCATGCGATGATCTTCCGGGTTTCCTTAAGGGGGACAGTCTGTCTTATTTTCCTCTTTACATTTTCAGGTGAAACTCCAGATATATGTAATCTTCCCGCAAAAGTAGGACGGTGCAGAGCTCTGTTTTATCGTTTTTATTTTAATACAACAACTCGAAACTGTGAGAAATTCATTTATGGAGGATGTGATGGAAATAAAAACAACTTTGTATATTGGTCTCAATGCAGAGCTACATGTCAAAATACTGGTAAGGTAGAAACTTTAATCTTTGCCTTGTCATAACCATTAAAACAAATAACACTACTCTTGTTTACAATCACTGATCTGAAAAATTCAATATCTTTATAAATGACCTAGATGAGGGAATAGAAAGGGAACTCATTTAATTTTCAGCTGATACTAAACTGGCGGGAATAGTTAACATCCCAGAAGATAAACTCAGGTTCCAAAAAGATCTTGATAAACTGGAACAATGGGCCCTATGAAACAAAATGAATTTTAATGTGAAGAAAAGCAAAGCTTTACATTTAGGTAGGAAAAAGCAAAGCTATAAGTATAGATTAGGTGAGACCTGGTTCAAAAACAATAACTATGAGAGGGACCTTGGAGTCCTAGTGGATGATCATTTGAATATGAGCCAGCAGTATGCAGCAGCCACCGCCAAAAAAGTTAATATAATCCTGGGTTGTATAAACAGAGGCATAGAATCAAAATCATGTAAGGTATTAGTACTGCTTTACAAACGCTAGTAAGACCATACCTTGAATACTGCAACCAATTTTGGTCACCATACTACAAAAAAGATGTTGAGACTTTGGAAAAAGTTCAGAGATGAGCAACTACGATTCAGATTCAGATTAGAGCTGGAAGGGACCTTGGAGGTCTTCTAGTCCAGCCCCCTGCTCAAGCAGATCTTTTACCATTTCAGACAAGTGACTGTCCAGTCTCTTCTTTAAAATGTCTGCTGATGAAGCCCCTACAACTTCTGAAGGCAAGCTGTTCCACTGGTTAATTGTCCTCGCTGTTAGAAAGTTTATCCTTAATTCCAGGTTGCTTTTCTCCTTGTTTACTTTCCATCCATTGCTTCTTGTGCTGCCTTCCGGTGCTTTGGAAAATAAATTTATTTATTTATTTATTGAACTTCTATACCGCCCTTCTCCTTTCGGACTCAGGGCGGTGAACAGCCAAAATAAAAACATTTATACATAACATTACAGTTAAAAATAGATTTAAAATAACTACATAAATTTGGCCCGTAATTTAAAACTTGTCAATATAAAATCCATATCAAAATTTTAAAACCAACTATAAAATCAAGACAGACCTAACTGAAAAAAGTAAGTTTTTAGGGCCTGATGAAAAGTCCGGAGGTCGGAGATCACTCGTATCTCTGGGGGTAGATTGTTCCAAAGGGTAGGTGCCACCACAGAGAAGGCTCTCCTCCTGGGCGTCGGCAGTCGACATTGTCTGGCTGACGGCACCCTGAGGAGGCCCTTTCTGTGGGAACGAACCGGCCAGTGGGAGGCTATTGGTGGCAGAAGGCGGTCCCATAAGTACCCCGGCCCTAAGCCATGGAGCGCTTTAAAGGTGGTCACCAACACCTTGAAGCGCACCCGGAAGTCCACCGGATCAAAGGCCTGGAGACTAAAACATATCAAGAACGACTGCAGAATTTGAGTCTGGCTAGTCTAAAAAAAAGAAAAATTAGGGTGACATCATAGCAGTATTTTAGTATTTGAGGGGCTGCCACAAAGAAGAGAGGGTCAAATTATTCTCCAAAGCAGCAGAGGGCAGGGCAAGAAATAATGGTTGGAAAATAATCGAACAGAGAAGCAACCTGGAATTAAGGAGAAACTTCCTAACAGTGAGGACAATTAACTAGTGGAATGGCTTGCCTTCAGAAATCGTGGACGCTCCATCATTGGAAGTTTTTAAGAGGAGACTGGACGGTCAGTTGTCTGAGATGGTACAGGTTGTCTTGCTTCAGCAGGGGGCTGGACGAGTTGACCTGCAAGCTCTCTTCCACCTCTATTCTATTCTAAAACTCTTTAGTCCTAAAGTTACCTCGATCTCAGTAATGCAATCCAGGCTCTGGACTGGCAACAGGCGCTTATTAGGAAACGCAATCAACAAAATCAGAAAATATTTTAAAATGGTAAAAATGCAAAAATTAAAAAAAATTAAATAAAAAAATCCTAAAGGCAGTTTTCTTGTTTTTTCTTATAAGAGTTCTGTGATTATTTCTGCACTAAGTTGATAAAGAGCATTAAGCAAAATACTGGAAAATCGAAGGAAATAATACATTCCTCACAGGAAAAGTCAGTTTTAACACGTAATGTAATGCCTGGAGATGCTTTTATTTGTCCAGATTGGCTTGCAATGCTTCATAAAAGAAAATGTATTATATACTATTTAAAGCATGAAAATGTTTTTTGCCAAGTTCCTGCTATTCTGCATTCAAGCAGAACATGAAGCCAATGAATTTTCTTGCAGTGTTTGGAGTGGGATTTCCACCTCTGTGGACCTGGCTATAGACTGGGACTTCTTTTTTTAATTCACTTTTGAGAATTTGTCTGGCTCTTTCTCTATAATAGACCTGGCATTTTTAACTATATGGTAACTCACCTTACTCATCCTATTTCCTCCACCTCCGCTGTCCCCCTTTGTATGTCAGGAGTTCATAATTCCTGCTACTGAGCAAAATTATAGAGAATGGTTTCAATTGTTGGAAGAAATGTCCATCTGGGTTCCGTTCCAAGTGGGGAGAAAGACACTGGAATCATGGAGACTGTTTGGAAAGATGGTTTAATGGTGGACAGGATCACATGGTTTGAGGTCCTAGGCAATTGAGCACATGGAAGAAAGAGAGAGTCAGAGAGATTTATATCATCCCTTGGGCCCGCCTTGGAGCTTCCTGTTCCTGTGTAAGGGCATGTATTCTGATTGGTTGTCAGACTCCCAAGGGGCCATGGAGGGGTAACTTTGCAGGTTGTCTTGAGTCCTAGGCCTGGTTGAATCTTGCTGGGTGATGATATAATGAAGGGGCTTTGGGCAATTCCTATTATGGCTTAATGGCTTTCTCCTGGTTTGGATCTTGAGTGAGGGCTAATCCTAGCATGTCCTGAGGGTGAACGTCTTTTGTTTTGTAGATAGGTTGGCACCATTCTTTCTGGGGCTATTAACAAAGGTGGGGTCTGCTTTCCAAGAGCATGTTTCTCCTTTTCTCATCCAGGGAGGTATAATATTCTGCCTTTTTAACATTTCCTATAATATTTCATTCCTCTAGGAGAGGGATGGGTGCTAACTTTCTACACAATCGTTATAGAAAGACAATAAAAAGTCAGACTCTGTAAATACTTAAATCTGGGTGAGAAGTTCCACATGAAGTGTTTGGAAGAGGAGGAAAGAGAATGGACACCCACCCCCCACTTCCAGGTGCTCCCCCTCCAAGTGTTGAATGCTCAGCTCCAGAAGGGGTTTCTCCTTCTGTCTGCTGGAATAGAAGTCCTAACCTTCAAGCAAATGGGAGGAACCTTCTCCCTGATGATATTCTCAGTCCGTCTCTGCAGGCTAATCTCAAGAATATGGGCCTGCTGTCTCTTCTTAGGGTTACAGCAGCCTGTATCTGCCAGGCTGTACTTCAATTCTTTGCATGACAATTCTATTGTCAATTGGCGATGACACAAAATTTAGGTGTTCTCAAAATGTTATAGTAGACAAACTGTTTTCACTTTTTCTGATGTTTGGAGCAGATTTTTCAGGGTCCAGTTTTCCAATGGATGGTCAAATATTCATGTTGCCCTGCACTCTGGAGTTAGAACACAATATATTTATATGCAATGATCTTCTGGCTTTCCATAAAAGGGACAGTGTGTCTTATTTTCCTCTTTTCAATTTCAGTACTATTTCCCGAGAAATGTACATTTCGCCCAATAGTAGGACCATGCGATACTCCTACTATTCGCTTTTTTTTCGACACAATCACTGGGACATGTAAGCTGTTTGTTCATAGTGGATGTGGGGGGAATGAAAACAACTTCATATCCGAAGAAGCCTGCATAAACGAATGTAAAAATACTGGTAAGGAAGTATTGTAATCTAGGTTCTGTACTAGTAATAGAAGAAAATGGAGCACATTATTGGGATCAATCAGTAAATATTTAGAACATTAAAAACACAAAAAGAAATTTCATAAAAAAGTGCCCTAAAAGTAGCTTTTTGTTTTTACGGTTTTCCTTGAAAATGGTTATGTGAGTATTTCCAGCGGTAGGCTCCTGGGGGTTTGGCAGGGTTCAGGCGATCCTCTAGCCAAGGATCGCCAGGGTTCGGCAAATGCCACCCCTAGCTGTCCACGCCCACCCGGCCCCTCTCCTCCCCGGAGTCTCCACGTGGGCCATTCATCATTCCAGGTAAATGCAGAATCTGAGAGGGCAAAAAATGGGCCTACCAGAGGTTCCAGCCTGTTTCCGGCCTCTGGAGGGCCTCCAGACCCCAGAGGAAAATGTTTTTGTCCTTCCAGAGGCTCAAGAAAAGCCTCCGGACCCTGGGGAGAGTGAAAAACGCCCCCTCCCCCATGGTGCAGGCAACTGACTAGGCCACGCCCACCCAGCAACGGGACAGCAAACCGTTGCTAAAGAATGAAGCCCACCCCTAAGCATTTCCACACTCAATTGACAAAGTGGATCACATAACAATTACATACACTACTGAAAAATTGACTGTTGACAACTTGATTTTCATTGTCTCCTTTCCAGGGTAATACTGATTCCAATACCTGATCGGATTGATAGATGGGGTGGATTCAGCAGCTAGGGAAGGAATCCAAACTTCCATGGACTCTCCCACTGGAATACTTTGCATGCATTGAATTTTAAGCATTCTCTTAAATAAACAAACAAGTGCTTTGAACCACAATAGTCTGTCTCTAAAGTACTGTTTTCATTGCTCCCTTTATTCTGTCAGGCCATCAACAACATTGCAAACAGGACACCCCAGTACAGAATATTCAGTGAATATATCAGATACAGGGAATATTAAAATACGTTTTGCAGTAATAGAGAATGTTGACCGTCTGATCCGGTAGGAATATTTGGTTGGCCTTCTTCTCTGTCAGCCCTTTTGAAATACATCAGTCAGGAACTCCAACCTATGGTTGAAGGGATAGTGAGAATGATTGGTGTATATCTAAAGTTGTAAAGGATGTAAAAGAGTTTCTAACTCTTTCCATATGCCTTCAATTTAGTAAATGCAACATTTCTTAGTCCTTGCTATGTTTTATTTAGCCTTACCTAACCAGTATGGAAGTACGTAGTTAAAGCAGAACTGTACTTAAGTTCCCACATATCATGGTTCCAACTGCATGAAAGTCCAGCTGCATTTCCTATTGTGCATATAAAAAGTGGCTTGATTGAGCACCAGACATTTGTTTTCAACACCAGGATGTATTTCAATTTGTGGTTGTTCGGACTGATTCATTTTTTGGTTTTAGGTTGCCTCTAACCCAAATTTAGGAACCCTTTCCAACCGAATGCAGAGTTTTGTATATCCACATACAAGATGGTCTCCCTCCACACTGCACAATGATGACTTTAAAGAGAATAGATGGTGGAAAGCTCTCCTCATTTTAGATTGACTTTAGAAAACTGTTCCCTTACCAGAGACACATGACATTTATTTATTTATTTTATTTTATTGCAATTTATATGCCGCCCTTCTCCCGAAGGACTCAGGGCGGCTTACAAGATAAAAATTCAACAATATGAATTAAATATAAATTAAAATCCAATTAAAATTAATTACAATTATTACAATGTAAAAACCCCCTCAACGGGTCAGTCCATTTGATGAAAAAGCTACGTCTTCAGTTCGTGGCGGAAGGAGAGGAGGCCGGGGGCTGTCCTAAGCCCGGTGGGCAAACCGTTCCAGAGGGTCGACGCTCCCACACAGAACGCTCTCCCTCTGGGGGCTGCCAGCTGACATTGTCTGACTGACAGCACCCTGAGGAGGCCCGCTCTGTGAGAGCGCACAGGACAATGGGAGGATGGCAGAAGATGGTCCTGCAAGTACCCCGGGCCTAAGCCATGTACGGCTTTATAGGTGAGCACCAGCATCTTGAAACGAACCCGGAGGACCACTGGCAGCCAGTGCAGCTCGTGCAGGAGAGGTGTTATACGGGAAATAAGACTCTCTTTTCTGCATTATGCCCTGTCACCCCTTAGTTTTGAGATAACCATATGAAAAATTCTTGGAGGACTGTTCCATTTTCATGAAAGGCATTTAGGTACATGAAGATGGGCACATTTTGGGATGAGAGCATAATTCAAATTTTGGGGGAGCTAGTGTTTCTGAAAGAAAAAGTCTAAACCATATATATGGACAAACCCTCCCTCCCTCCCTCCTTACATGATGTTATTATAATGGGAGAGACAGGTAATGTTCAACCTGAAGATCCACTGCACTCCTACTTTCTTATTTCTAACTGAAATAAAGTTGTTAATTTAAAAAACAAACATTTAAGAACAACTTAAACACTGAAATTTTCAAAGGAATAAAATTACATGCAAAAATGGTAGAAGGTGGGATAAATGATGATACTCAGCTGTACATCTCCACCCCAGACCACCCCAATGATGCCCTTGCAGTGATGTCCCGGTGCCTCGAAGCCGTGCGGATCTGGATGGGGAGAAACAGGCTCCGACTCAACCCTTCCAAGACCGAGTGGCTGTGGCTGCCGGCGTCCCGATATAGCCAGCTGATACCATTGCTGACTATTGGGGGCGAGTCATTGGCCCCCACGGAGAGGGCTCGCAACTTGGGTGTCCTCCTGGACACGCGGCTGTCTTTAGAAGAGCATATGACAGCCGTGGCCAGGGGAGCTTTCTATCAGGTTCGCCTGATTCGCCAGTTGCGACCCCTTCTAGATCGGGACTCCTTACGCACAGTCACTCATGCCCTCATCACTTCCTGTCTGGACTACTGTAATGCTCTCTACATGGGGCTCCCCTTGAGGTGCACGCGGAGGCTCCAACTGGTCCAGAACGCAGCTGCGCGGGTGATATTGGGAGCGAAATGGTGCTCACATGTAACACCTCTCCTACGCGAGCTGCACTGGCTCCCGGTGGTCTTCCGAGTGCGCTTCAAGGTGTTGGTTCTTACCTTTAAAGTGCTCCATGGCATAGGACCTGGGTACTTACGAGACCACCTTCTGCAACCAATAACCTCCCACCAACCAGCACGCTCCCACAGGGTGGGCCTCCTCAGGGTGCCATCACTAAAGCAATGTCGACTGGTGGTTCCCAGAGAAAGAGCCTTTTCTGTGGGGGCACCTAGCCTTTGGAACAGGTTACCCCCAGGGATACGAATGATCCCAGATCTTCGTACTTTCTGTCATGCACTTAAGACCTTTCTATTTCACCAAGCCGGGCTGGCATAAATCTCTTCTAACTGTTCTAAATCTTTACGCTGCAAATTCTTAATCGATGAACCAAATTGGCTTAATCATCTTATATTCACATTTTATATGTATGTATATATATGTACTGTTCACCGCCCTGAGTCCTTCGGGAGAAGGGCGGTATAGAAATTGAATGAATGAATGAATGAATGAATGAATGAATGAATGAATGAATGAATAAATAAATAAATAAATAAATAAATAAATAAATAAATAAATACAGAAAAGACAGAAAAACAAAGGGAATACATCTTTGGGAAGGTCCCTGCAGATCTTTTCAACAAATGTGGGACATGTGATGCTCTGGGAAGCAAGATATATATTCAATATATCTTGAATATATTTCAAGATATTTTCCTAAAGGAGAAATGGAGAAACATGTTTTTAGAAGCAGGAAGCAGCCCCAGAGTCTTTCTTAATAGCCCCCAAGCAGAAACTGAGGACCCAGCTTTTAGAAATGCAGATTTGTTAATCCATTCAAGACATGAACTTTTGAAACTCCCTGCAGCAAAGGCAGAATGATAGGATTAGAAGCAGCCCCTCACCCAAGATTCAACAAAGGATGAAAGCCATTAGGCACAATAGAAATTGTGCCTTTCAAAACACAAGCCCCTTCATTGCACCACCCCCAGAGCAGTCCAAACTTCACCTGGGAGCTCAGATAAACAATGAACCAGAGGTTGACTAGATTAGCTCAGACAAGCACCTACGATTTGTATTTCCTTTTTTGCATATAGAGCCAGCTGTGACCCCTACATAACCCCTACATGACCCCATAGGAATCTGACAATGGCCAATAGAATATTAAAGGACATGTTCTTGCATAGGAACAGGAAGCTCAAATACAAAGCCCAAAGAAGGTAAAAAAACCCACCCACTCTCAACTCCATTTTGTCAGCTGCCCAGAATCACACGTGGTTCTGCTTCATCAATAAACCATCTTTTCAATCAGCCTCCATGTTTACAGTGTCTTTCTCCCAGCTTGGAACTGAACCAGATGGTTATTTCTTCCAACAATTGGAAAAGGGGTAGCTATATCATTCGTGTGGTAAACCAAGAAGGGATATAGTGGGGAGTGTGTGTGGGGCATAATGAATACAAAATACAAAAAGTCTAGTAGAGTAAATTTATGGCAAACACGTTGCTAAGCAAATGCATGAAGAAAAAGCGAATTGTTAATAATGAAGGCAAAGAGTTAGAGTTATGGCTGGATCAGATGAGACTCTGGAAAGAAAGAGATGAGACATCAGAATATGGAAGTGGTAAAAAGAACGTTGGTTTGCAGGAATAGAAAGATACAGTGAGGGGAGGTAGTGCAGAGACATTCTACCTCTTTCCTTTTTATCACTTTCCTCATTCCTTCAATTTAATTCGGGTACAATTCCTAACTCATTTGCTACACTCTATATAGCACTGTTTATGCATGATTGGTGACCTGTACTCAGGGTCCCTACTAGGTTTGGCCTCCTTGTTCCAACAACATGAATACCCAGGTCTACTTCCCTATTGCCTATTCCCCCTCTCCTGGAAGAATGAAATATTTTGAAAAATATTAAAAAGGCAGAATATTATATTTCCCTAAAGGAGAAATATGTTTTAAA